AACCAAATTCCTTAGAGGATTTGGAGGGCGTTTTCAGGATTTTGTTTGGTTTAGGGCTAGGCACAAAACATTGAAAATTACAATGTTTTAAGTTTTAGGTGCGTTTGTAAAGTTTTTTGGATAGTTGTCAATGAAAGTGAGACCTTTGGACAGAAAGCACCTTTTAATGTTCGAGATGACTACCTGTGGGAGAGACAAAGTATGCAAGACGGCTTCGAGAGTCTCTAGCTTTGGCAGATGAGACTAGTGAAGATCCGATATTGTTGGTGATGCTTGACGCCGCTAGCGGGTGATGCTGATCATGTTGGATCCCTGTTGGAGCTGAACGCTGTTGATGTGCTCTCTATCTTTTGTTGATGTCTAGGCAAAGAATGCTGCAAACTCCGAGGGTTTTCCAACTTGGAGTGAAAAAGGCAGCGTGCAAGGGGACAAAGACAGCGTAACCTAGAGCGTTTTTTTGTAGGGTTGGCGTGGAAAACGCTGAAAACAACTGTATTCTTGATCGTTTTCTAGCCTAAAGCTATCTGTGTTTACAGGGTTCGCTGACGCAAAGGTGGCTCCCATTGGGTGTGCCCGCGCCCGTGTGCGGGTGTGCATGTGGGTACGTGTGTCTGAAGCTGAGGTTGCCAGGCTTTTTATATCAGACCCTCGTGCGCACACCTGTATGGGAGTGTGTATGCGCAGGCGTCAGAAGCTGTGGTAATCGTCGATTTTGCTGTCCAAAGAGCGCAGTCCCCCCAAGGGCATCGCCGGTTGGCAAAGCCTGTCAGTTATCCTCCTAACCCTGAGTATCCCTGAGTTAGAAGCCATTGCTAGCAGGTTGGAGGCCATCGCTACAGTAGTAGGTTGGAGACCATCGCTGGTATGTTCATTCAGACTTGTTGAAATATGATTTGCAAACCGATGTGCCTATGACACAATGCGACGCGTGCGACACACTCTCTCGGGTTTGCTGGACCCAACACACTAGAAAGCCGCACATGTTTGCTGCTTGCTACTCACCACTGAGGTAAGGGAGGGGAGAGTCAATCTCCGGTTGTATGCCCTTGCTCAGTTGGACCTCAACTCCCATCAGCCAATGGCACGATCTGCATGACATGCCGCCGCCTGTGCATCTTCATAGCCTGCAAGATCAAATTGTGCTGTTTCCTGAGAGACTTGCAGAGCCATCAACCATGCAAAGCCCCTCCTATGCAAGACACCTATATCATCCCAGGAACACCATCCTCTCCCTCCAGTCTTCCAATCCCTCCAATCGACCCAGACCATCCAGACCTATCCACGAAAACGTCAATCACTGTGAAGAAGACAAACGAAGAAATGATAAGAATGGGTGCTACCAAAACACTCGCCGCTAAAACCAGCCCAGTTTCTGGAGTGCTTCGAATCTCCGCAGCGATCTTGTCTTTGGGCTTTGACTCCTGGCCATCACTTAGAAATGTTAAATGATGTCTCAATCATCGAAGAACTGCCCAGCCGCTCAGCTGTACGGCCCAGAGATTCAGCTGTTCCAATCATCGAGCAACTTCCAGTTTCATGTGGCCCGAAGACATGTCAATGTTAGCAGGTTAACACCTGTAAAGAAAGGCACCTTCCACCACAATGATCTGAACCGAAAACAAACACATGCTCAAGAGTTTCGGACGAGTCAAACTCGCCTTCTTTAAAATCGTGTGACAGAACGTGCAAACAAACTGTTCTAACTGGTGTCGTTCTTTGTTCGCCATGGTTCTCCAATGTTCTTTTCTTGTCAACCCCAATTTGGAGGTTCTCACGGCCCGAGATCCGACTTCTCGTCTCAATGGTTCGGTTTTTGGACCGTCGCAAACAGTGACAAGGGGTCAAATGACGGCTGCTCGCGTCTTGTAGACTGCAAGCATTTGGTGACACTCATGACTGCCTCTAGCTGGATTTGAGTTCATTTACATCGCAATTCTGCAAATTCTCATCAACACGATATGGATATAAATGGTCTCAAAGCACTGTGAAACGAGTTGAACGCCAGCCGAACAGCTTTCCACATGACATGATTGAGACTTGGAGTACTCCCAGACTGAACGGTGAAACTCCGGACCCGCAGAACAGGACATCCGTGTCTCATCAGAGATTGGACACCCACAGTCAGTGCAGGTATTGTAGCCAAAAACAGCTGTATGACAACTGTAAAGTGAAGCTTGTGCTGGTGAAAAGGATTTGAATGTGGTTTGCACATGTATCAGTTCATGCCTGCACTGGAGCTGCAAAGCCCTGAACTGAATCAGTTTCACCACTGTGCCATGGGTGGCTTTCATCCCATGGAAAGGCCAGTCGGATTCACCCTGAGCATCAAATGTCCGTACTCTGCTCCAGCATCTGCGATTGGCCCATCTCATCCTGCCATGTCGCTGCTGAGAATTTGCAGCCCAAGAGGCTTGTACTTCTGATGGAATTTCCTACAAAGGTTCAGCGGAGAATCTTGTACTTCACTTCTGATGTCAACTTCTGGACATTCTTGGGCAACTTTTGACTCTGATCAGAGCTGCCTGGCTTTCGTCAGCCCAGCGCCTCATTCCAAAGAGGACTTGACCACCAACGAATTTGTGTTCCAAACATGTGAATCATTTTGAGTTGTTTTCAAATTCCTTTCTTTAAGGATGTGTTCATTCAAAGTTGGGACATCCCGCATCGTATTCCAGCGTTTGGCACATGGACACTGTAGGTCGGTATCGTCTTGCAGGTGTTGTAGGATTCGCACATCAGCATCCAAGGATATATATATATATATGTGCGGCGGCATTTATTTGGTACTAAACTCAATTACACTATCTATTATGTGGGGGCTCTATCTCGTTTAGACTACTTAAGTAGGAGGACATGTAACAGTATCTCGTTCAGACTACTTTAGTAGCATATCACACTATCTCGTTCAGACTACTTTCGTGTCATCAAGCAAAAGTATCCCTATCTCGTTCACAAGCGAATACTGATGATAGACACGCAAATAGAGCATGCCGTAGACTACTTTAGTAAAGCCTAAGTAAAAGTGGTTGCTTTTATATATATATATACTGCGATATACTGCATATAACGTGTAACTGTATCTTTGATTTTGGACGAAAACTCAATCTCAGCCTTGGATGAAATGCCCTTGTAATGGATAAATGACAGAAGATCATCTACATTCTCCCGCTGATAGCTCATGTATTAGGGCCTTCCAAAATCCTTCAATCAGTTTTGAGATGTTCGAGTGAAAGGATCGACCCGGTGCATGTCTCCAGCGTCAAAACTAAAGCACGGTAGACATGAAAGAACATCACCTCCACGACTCAGCAAAAAGAACAGTGTTGCCGTTTGCAGGCAGGCAAAAACAAATGCAAAAAACTCCTGAATTTGCTTTGCAAAAAGGGTTCTTGGTCCTAAGCGGGTCAGCACTATCAGCATTTAGCATAGTGCTGACAGGTTGCATATTCGGTTTGGGAGAATCTGCAGCTTTCGGCATCTCCTGGGAATGAATCAATGCTAGTGAAAGACTTGCCTGGTTTTTGGCAATTGCAATACATACACACATATGTATGTACTAATTAAGCAAACTTTTATACAATTCATTATACGTCATTATAGTGAGCTCTTGGCTTCAGTCAGTCAATCAAAGTCAATAATTGTACATGGGGCCCCGCTGATAAACTAAAACAGTAAAAATAAACATGTCTGGTTAGCGCACACACACACACTCACACTGTCCACATATTATCAAAGAGTTGATGGCCCAAGTCCCAATGCCATTGCCCAATTCCCAAACGATGCCCACTTGAAAATCACAGCCAGGTTTCCAAAACTCACCTCAGCTATTGATGGTCAACAACAACAACATCTTTGAGCCGCATGACGGTGCCGGCTTTCCCATGTTTTCCCTCTATACTTTACTATACACCTTCTCTCTCCTTCTGTTGGGCACACAACAACTCGATTGTGTGTTTAAGTGGTTCAGTGAGCACCGGTCTTGCAGTGCCTCCATCTTTGCCACACAAAAAATGCGAAAAACGCAATTGGTGGCTCCAGCTGTGCTGCACTGCTGGACTCGGTCATCAGGGAGCCCGCCTTGGTTAGAGATATGCTCGATTTTTTGAGAAAGTTGGATTCATATGGATTTATGGGTGGATGCTGACTACTGCGAGGCAATTCATATGCAAGCACAGGCAAGCATATGCAAGCCCAGCGAGAACAAAGAATGGGAATCGAAAAGTCACCGGCATATTTACATGACACAGAACTTGATTTCACTTCCCCTACCCTCCAGGGCCCGCCCTCAGCAGAGCGACGTTTCGAGCAGCGACATTGGAACGTTCCCCCACGGCTGGCGAAGACAAAGCACCTCAGCCGGCAAAGGGGCACCTGAGGGTACTACGCCCACCTGCTGAACGATGTTCTTTGCTGGGAAGTGGCAAACTTGAATGTTCCTGGATCCTGATAATTAGCTTGTGGTGCCACCCAACATTCTGAAGCTCCTTTGGCTTTCGCCGCTGGATGTTTGGCAAGTCTATAGAGTCTGGGTGTGACAACCCGAAGCTCCTCTGCATGGGCAGGTGTTCCTGAGGCTTCTCGCGTTTCATGGTTGCTGGCACTGCTCGATAGTTCCTGAGGCATGACTGAGGCTAAGAAAAACTCCATGGAAGTTGACTCAAATGCGGCAGGAACAGCAATTGGGTTCGGTCAAAATGATCGACTGCATCCATGATCATTCATGCATACTTGCAGACCTCACTAAACCTCACCATTGGATTCATCAGACCCCCTGAGGCCCGCTCAGTGGATCGCGCTTTCCGGTCAGAATGCCCCATGGTGGCCTCAATCCAAGTTCCACGTGCGGAACCTGGTGACGGGGGAGCACAAATGTGTGGGTCAAAGCCTAACCTCTCCAATGATTCATCGATTGGGTCCAAACTAAACCCCGCCCGTAGTAGCGTCCTTGTTCCTAGTAGCGATGCCCTTTGTTATCCTTTGTTACTAGTAGCTTCTTGTTCCTAGTAGTAAGGCCAGGAGCCCCTAATAGCGTCCTTGCTCCTAGTAGCGATGGGTTTCTCGTTTGGGAATCCATGGGATAGGTAGAGATCCAGACCGAGTCGACCGAGTCGAGCTCTGCAGCTCGGTGGCTTCAGCATGGTCGTCGTGCCGTTGTGGGGAACAACACCTTGGTCGGACGAAAACGCCCTCTCTATACAGTAATAGTGATAGTATGTAATGGTGTATCTTTTAAACAAAATGAATAAACAAAAAGACCCTTTAAAGGAGCTCGTACCTTCTTTGTTTCATCTCTTGTTTTTTGACTATCTATCTCCATGTTGTCGATGTATGGACCTCCAAAGGCTTGGCTTGGCGACTGGAAAGGCACTCACACGTTGATCTCCACACTGTCTTGATCTTGCCAAGTCACCTTTAGTCGGGTTCTTTCTAGCACCGCAGGGGTGCTTGGTGTACCATGGAACTCCATCCAAGTTTGACTTGAAAGAAGGCATCCTCAGGAGAATGAGAGACACTTGATTTTGTGAAAACTTGCAACCATTTGCTAGTTTGTAGAAAACTTTAAACACGCCATCAATCATCCGCCAATCAAGCTAGGCAAAATCCACTAAGCCCTTGAAGGAGTGGCCTCACAATCCCTGTGCACAGTATGACTTGCCACTTTGCTCCAAGCACAAGTTTCCCGGTGCATCTCTGGGTTTCTGGCGCATCACGGCTGGGATCGGTTCGAAGCAAAGCCATCTTCCTGACATGTCTTGTGAGATGCAATTCCATCCAACTGAATTTGAGCCTTCATGATTACAGGCCTTACAGTTTGTTCACTATACCAAAACTCTGCGATTTTAGGATGTTTTGCAAGGACCCTCTGCCATTCCGTAGTTGTTCCATCAGTTGGACTTGACTAGACTAGCTCCAAACGCCAACCACTTGTCCTGTCAAAAGCCGTATTGCGATGAAGGACATCAAAGCGGATGGACGGAATGTGGCCACCATAGCCAGCAGGGAGGTCACCTGAGTACGAATTGCAAATGTCCAGGCAAATTCAAGCCTACGGTAGTCATGTGTGACATGGTTCTCTTGACTACTCTACAACTACCCTGCTCCTATCTTGTGCACTTTTCTTGCGCCAAGCCGCTCCTCACATAGGTCTCCCTGCCATGGGACATGTCCTTGGATGTTGGTTCTGGGCGTACCCTTGTCACAGGATGTCACAGCTCTCCCCTCAACCAATGCGTTTTCAACCCATGTTTCTTGTAAGACAAACCGAGGGTAACCCCTTTTGCTTTCTGGGCATTGCAGGCTGCGCCATGCTGTGGCCCTGGTCCAATCCAAGCTTCAGAGTAGGTGGTGCGGTACATGTTCTTGAAGAGATCTCCTCAGCGATGGGCGTCACGGAATCCAAAGAGCTAGGCACTTCAATTCTGAAGCAGCAAAACAAATACTGTAGGCATTTGATGATAGTTGCAGTGGAGATTCTGTAGGCCTCATGCCACTCCTCAGTTCTTGAGTTCTGCTAACACCCACAAACTGAGTTGGAGTCTTGTGGCTGAGTATCGTGTCTTTTGCATTCATCAATTGAGTGTGGATGGGCTCCATCCAAGCCCGCTCCGTCCAAGTGTGATCACTGCAAGTGAATGACACTGACGAGAGTAAATGCAAGTCATAGACTGTATTGTTGTCTTACACCATATTGTATGTATTAATCAATCTATTAGATTGTGCTGTGTTGTACCGGACCTGTGACCTTCACAACATCACATTGCATGATGTGGTAGATGATGAACACTAAATTCTTCACAACAATATTAGCACATCCACAAGCCATGGTTTTGGGCCCTCAACGAAGACTACGACTGTTGGGTCCCAGCAGCCCATTGCTTGCTGGGATCGCCTGCAACAAGGCCCGATTGAGGAGACTCCATGACCTCGTTGAAGTGATCGGCATCAACACGGCGATCGAAACGAGTCTCGTACATCAAGGTGTAGCTGATATCTATATATATATATTATGTTTTATATTATGTGTGTATGTGACACGGGTCAAGTGGAGTGTCACGAGGCATCACTGGCACTTGACAGCAGTCTGCCTTGCCAAGACACTGCCCGGATCTACGTGACGTACTACTACGTGTGATCTTTTCCAGTGGCCCTTCAGCTTGATCCAAAAACAGCGACAACAACCCAGCATGTCGATGTGATGAGTCGGAAAGAGAGCACGTGATGTGGATAGATTGAATCGTGTTTTTTGTTTACGCTATACTACAGTATCTTGTATTATTTGTATAATAATGTTATAGATCGTTATAGTTATAGTATCAAGCATATTAATGCATATTATGAACCGCATCAACAGATTGTCCACGACTATCCCACCTTCTATTGACAGTGCCAGCAACAGCACACCAATCAGGCTGAAGACCCAAAAGCTCAGAATTATTCTGCCATGTGGGTCGGACTCATGCAGTCCTCTGACATAAGCTGCTGCAAGTACCTAAGCCGTCAAAGTGGTAGGTAAACAATGCCAAAGTCTCAGACAGGTGGTACAAACACAGCCCACTTGTGCAAGCCAACAGTGTTGAACTAGGTCCTAGTGTCCTTGTGGCTCTCTGATTCTTGGCGCTCTGCACATATTGACACATGAAACATCTTCGCGGCATGTTCGCTCCTCCAAACTACAAGCCCTAGGCCCTAGGCCCTACTATCAATGTTGATAGTTGCTTAAAGAGACAAACTTTGCAGATTTCCTCTTCAGGAACCAAGAGATGGTACAGCTGAAGGGCTGATGCAATACATGGGATCAACACTTAACAAACAGGTCTGAGTGTCAGCGGCATTGGTTCTAAGTCGTAGTTGAAGCTCTTTCTGAAGACGCACCCAAACCAATCCAGGCCAGCCTATTCCAAACAATGCTTTATCCCAATGTCTGAGACTGCCAACCTAGACCTAGAACTTGCGCCTCGTACGGTAGCATGTCGGTTAAACATTACAAGAGTTTGCTTGACAAAGCAAATGTTTCGAGATCAAATCTGCCGGCGTTGCGGCAAGTCACTGACACCTTTTGGCCTTTTCTGCAGCAGCTTCTTGGTCCTGCTGTGCCTAGGCCGGCAGAAATCAAGTCTTTTTGTTGATCTGCCAGTTGCTGACACATGCCCAAACAAACAAGTCAACTGAGGCTTTTGGTGCTCTCCCACAAATATACCAAGACTGGAGACGGCGTTGAAACGTAGTATTTGTCGCCTTTACTCTGCTGCGGAGCAAATGCGGAAGTTGAGACTACTGCACTGGACTACACATGCAAACTCATATCAAATACTATCAAATCATCAAACAACTGACAGTGCGCGCGTGCATGCAGCACTTGGATCTCCGACTCTGGCTTCCGACTCTTCCATGGCACAATTCACTGCATTGTCACGCTGTGATGTGCGCAGGGCTTCGGCTTGGGATGTCTCCTCTGCAAAAGCAAAGTCGGTCAATGCAGGACACACTGAGAGATAGACTGGGCCAGATTATGAGGTGCAAGAATGCAAAACACACTCCCCAGAGTACGTCCACATGTCAGCTGTATGTCGGGTTGTTGAGTCATCCATGAAGCTCTCCTGCTTCTCGCTGTCTGCACGGACCAGGAAGCGTGGGCCATTCTCCTGCAGCCATTCACCTTGGAAGGAAGCTTTCCGCTTTTCTGTCGAAAGCGAACACCCTGATGTGTTCGGTCTTCGATCCCATGGAATTGCCAGCCGCGCAACACAGAATGAAAAACATTGGAGCTCCAAGGGCTTGTCGGCAAACGTCTCCAAGCGCCTGAAAGGAAATGGATTCAAACGGATCCCAGGAAGTCCTCCAGTTTCATCGTTTGATCAGTTTGATCTCACAATTCTTCAAGCGATTCTTCTCAAAGGGCTCCATGATCGGAAAAGTCCAAAAAAGGCGCTCCGGCCGCTCTGCTTGGTCAGCTCCCTAGTGACCACGCCATGGCCCTAGTAACCACGCTCCTGGCCTCCAGGAGCCGTGGTCGGTTGGCCTCTCGCAAACGTTCATGCCTTCCGGGCAGCTTCCGCTTGGAACGACTTGAAGGTTAACTGCCATGTTGCCATTGTTCATATCAGTCGGATTCAAGGGTCTGGGATACAGGACTATGGCAACACAACAATCGTTGACTATATCGTTGAGTTGATCTTGGACTTTGCTGCAACACATTGGGGGTGTGCTCCCCTTCACGTATCATCATGAATAATCCTGTGCTGGTCAAAGCTCGTACATTTTGAGAAGGTGCGATTCGGACGCCTTAACCAACAAGCTCCCTTTCGCCCATTTTGGGCAAACGTGAAATATCGTGAAATGTCTCTGACTGCCAGCAATGCTCCAGCATATGTTTCAGAATCACTAAGCAGCGGACTTGCGTGAGCATTTGTGCTGCAGCGGAAACGACAATTCAAAGTTACATGAAAAGAAACCAAACCCATACTCCCACTCTCAAATCTCTTAGCGCCCCACCGTGGGCACAGCAAGGGTGACACATGAGGATATAGCAAACCAGCTGGAATCCTGAGTGTAGAAACGTGGTTACCTCAAATTGAGATGTTATTGTATAAATATATATATACACATGTTACAAGTTAATACAAGATACAAGCATTTTTCTTTTGACTCTATGGATACAAGGACCACTGCTTCACACCCAACTGAAGCGAAGGAGCATGAAGGCCATTGTCCACCTGAAAGCAGGCAGTTGCTTACAAAGGGCAAAGGAAGGAAGCTTCATCCACATTCCACTCCCCTGCGCTTTGCAGGGTCCATATTGAGACAAACTCAGCCAACCGCAACTTCTCAGGCGCACTAAACTTATCTGCGCATCTTCTGAAGTCGCAAAAACAAACACTGGAACAAATGATCCTTACTCATCATCTCTTTGCCACGCTGCCTGCCGCCACCACCACCAATGCCACTGGCTGGAAGCGTCACGAGCAGCTCAAAACCATCAAGCCCCGCCTGTTAGGCAATCACCATCACAAGCAGCATATTTAAGTTTGCCCTTGGAACAAATCAAACCACAAAAAAGGTCAACCCTACGTTGCGAAAAAGTACACAAGAGGCCGTGTTGGGAAGGATACCATACAATCAAACCCGTTGACTTGATTACGATGAGCACTATAGTGCCATACCCTCCGAAACTAAGAAACCAACGGATTCTCGTACTGTTCCTGTTATGTCCCAGGGTGCATGGGGCTTGAATATGATGACGACGAGCTTGGCTGACGATCCCAATGTTGTCTGCGTCAGTCAAGCGGACAAGGGTTTGCTGCAACTTGTATTCAGCCAAGGCACCCGCCTCTTCTATACTCTATACAAAATTTTAGCAAGCACAATACACCCTGCTGTAGACAATGGCCTGGGCCTACACGCATGCTCACCATGGACCATAAGACCATAAGATCTACAGCTTTGCCCTGTGGTTGCAGACTCCACGCAGCACATGCCTGCACATACATGTTGCAGATATTCAAAGTCCTTGTGGAGGCCAGAAAACGATACGGAAGTTAAAAGGTGGTGACGGAAAGATATTGTGGAGCCCGCATGTTTTGCCACATGTTGCCACTAAAAGCTCACACCTTCGTTGATGCTGGTCACCTCAGATTTTTGCTTGCGAAACCATCAACCAAGGATGGATTAAACTGGTTTATTACTTCACTTACAGATTGGCCAGTCAGAGTGTGGCCAGTGTAGATCTGAAGGGAGCACATTGTACTCCACAAACACTGAAATCGGAACTGGAGGAGCGTTTATTTCAAGGTTAGCTGAAGTTGGCTGTCTTAAGTGTACAAAAATCAAGTTCAGCAGTTTAGCTAAATGTTGAATTACTGTATTTTGGAGGCCATTGCTATTAGGTTAGCTAAATTTAGAAGACCGGCAAACAAATCTATGGCGTAGCTGCATCTCACCGTCCGGATTCGGACCTAAGAACGTCGAAACATCAATCTATTTCCTTTGCCCATGCACGCCGTCTACTTTTTTGACCTTGTTTTTTTCGTGGCCATCCTCCTTACTTAATTAAGGAGGCGCCTACTTAAGTAATTACTCCTAGCTACTGGACGTTACTACATATGGGCTACGGCTCAAATTCACATTGTGCTCTGAAGACCCCAATTGGCATGGTCTTGGGGGTACCAAGGTTGAATCCTCCTCGCCTGTCCGAAGCTCTGGACATCCTCCTCGCCTGAGCGGGGTGGTTAAAAACGAACGAGTCTTATCAATGCATTATCTTCCTCTTTCAGCGTCTATGATATACCAGTGATTCGCCTGTTTTGGCCATTTGAGGCCATTGAAACAAACCATCCCTATCTGCTGACAGGCTATAAGGCTTTCACTGCTTGCAAAGCATTATATGGGATTATCCCCTATAATCTTGTAATATACTGACCACCCAACACAACCACCCAACCCAACAGAAATGGTTACCCTACTGTAATTCCTCAAAAATCAAAGCGTCAGGCAAAAACAACTACAAATGGGGCTTTCAGGGTCATGCTTGGTGCAAGAACACTAATTATGTCCAAGTGTATGTTGAAATCCTGAAGGTAAGTGCAACAACTTGTTGTAGATTGATGGGGCAAGGGTCGGGTAGATGTCTACTGTAGGTGACCTTCCAGCTAGGAAACTAATGAAACTACTACTCTAGTTGAAACTTGTTGTTTCCACACAAGCCCCTTCCTGAATCAAACTATGCCAAGGTACCATAAATGCTTCGCATTGCCTCAATTTCTTCATTGAGCTCATCTGCCGAGGCAGGAACCACAGCATCCGCCTCAAGTCCTCCAACGGCAGAGTCGCATCACTTTCCAAACCTTGCATCCTCCAGTGGTATGAACCACGTATTTTCTCGGGGAAGCATACAGCTGTGGGATGCTATGGGCAACGTCATCAGGTTAGGTCTTGTTTAGCTGCAATTCAATGGTGTGTAATGAAGCATGGCGCAACATGTTGTCAAAGGGCCGACTGTTTTTTTCTTAGCCCGTGGCCCTGCCTCCTTACTTAATCAAGTAGTGCCTACTTAATTAAGGGAGTAAGCTACTAGCAAGAGGAAGTTCCTAGCTAGGATGCAGGATAGCTCACGCGTCTTCAAGGAAGCTCTCCCCACCTGAGGGCGGGGGAGAGCTTCTTTGAGGAAGCGCTTGCACTATATAATGATTTGCTTCCTGCTAGATTTTTCGGGAAACTTGTTATATTCTTAGGAATTCGGAAAACTTATTATCTCACGGCATAGCAACTCTTTCCCAGAGTGAGCTCATCTCGCATCACCCACAGAGATTGTCCACTGTCAATCACTTAAAGTCGAAGTGGAAGAAGAAGGACGGCCAAAAATCAAATTATATACCCTTGTTAGTTGACCAAATTTAAGTGCGGAGACAGGTTGGGAAAAGGATTCAATCATGCAGTCAAGGCGTCAGTGATTGGAAGTGTTGGCTTTTCAGCACTTGTTGAACTGTAGAAATACTCCAAACATTGCCAGACATTGTATCGCAAAAAAAAAAAAACAGGTCACGTCCTGGTGGGAGATCCAAGGGCAGAAACTCGGAGAGCAAGGACTTCCTTGAATCAAATCAAAACATTCCAAGGAGTCCTTCTTCCCCTGTCTCGCATGCTGTGGCACCTATGTGTGCATATAAATATACATGTGTGTATATATCTGTTGGGCATGTCACTCGGCCAAAAACAACAATTGTCCAGTATTGACTTGTATATACTGTAATTGTTTGGTGATTGAAAGGAATACACGTAGAAAATCCAAACGCTTGATGTTAGATGTGAAGATTGAATGCCTCAACCCTAATCATATACTACCATGTCTATCATATGTATATATATATATGTGTGTGTGCTACGCCCCAGGACCTACCTTTCAATATATTATGTTGGTTGTGAAAGACAGGACGCGGAAGCCCAAAGACAGATCTCCGTCATGTGTACAATAATAACCCCAAACCTACACTTTGGCCAAACTTACTGTTTGGTGAAACGAGGCACACGAGCCAGAATGGGAAGCATCAAGAAACGTCACGCAAATAAATAGAAATCCTGAAGCAAGGCAAACGGCTACTAATCATCAAATCAAATACGCCAAAAATCCACGACACTTTAGGCAGGCTGCAAAAAGAGAAACATTATATTTTCCTTGTCTTATAGAAGTTTTCTACTATCGAGAAATTTGATCTGGAACTGATAGTAAGCTACTATGAGACCCCTACCCCTACACTAAATTGCTTCCAAAACATAATCACCCCCAAAAGGACATAAACGAGCGTATATAAGCAGTCGATCTGGGGGTTAATCAATACAAAAAAAAAAATATGTTGATAATTGTTGATATATGTTGATTTATCTATTTATTTCATAGTAGGAGACCATGGCTTCCCAGGGACACTGCCGGCAGCAACTGGTGGCCCGGAGCTTCAGCCAAGGCCTGGGCCATTTTCCACGTTCCGACTGGGAAATCCCTCAAGCGTCTCGGGAATCCCTCAAGCGTCTCGGGAAAAGAGAACAAATTTCAAACATGTGTGATTTGTGAGATCGCCTTTTGGAGATGTACTAGTATCATCTGACGCATGTGATCAATATGCATGCTCAGTCTCGGAAGCATATTCAAGGTGCAAGTGTTGACAACGACATGACATTAGATCGTGCGCTCATCGGTCTCAATGGTAAAATATGAGGACAACAGCGAAACCCTGAACCCTTCGTGCCTGGATCGCCCGGGCACGACTAAAGCCCAATTTCCTGGGTTCGGTGGCCAAGCCCAGGAGCAAACATCGAGAATGGATCAACTGTGCAAAGAACAGTTATTGTTGATGCGTTAAACAGTTTGATCACGTTCCCCTACATTACGTTTATGATCAACTCGGTGACCTGCTAACGCTCACTAACTCCAACAAATAGAGAGCTGACTAGGCCGGCCTCCAGAATTTGCTAGGGCCCGGACTCGATACGAGTGATGAAGGTGCCTTCCTGAGTGTACAGCTGAGACAGGAACAACCCAGGGGCTCTCCATGTCAGCAATGTCATGTCATGAAATAGATCTGTCTCTCCAAATGTGCGACAGCGGAGGGCCAAGTTCTCCAACAGCTGGCTAGGAGCTCAAATTCATCCACGCCAGCGGGAAGCAAATGCAAGTTACCAAAATGATCCAAGATGTAAGATAGGGCCCAACTGCATGTACTCCAACAAGGGGAGTGTTTCATATTACGTATCGTGCGATTTCTTGTGGGGCTTCTGAGATCCTGCATCTGAGGTACAATTTGGCCTCCTTGCAATAGTGCCTCGGCCACCGGACTATGCCCAACCAAGTTGAAGGCACAATCAGCATCGTTTGTCTGATCTCAAGGTCAAACTCAACAAAGCCAAAATGTGGGGATCACCAAATCCATTCCAAGCGAACTAGAAAATGGAGGTTCACCTCGTAACTGATCGACCCTCCTCGGCTTCCAAAACACGACCCCTCTTCGGCTCGGTGCTGGGAAGTGACCTTGGTCTGGAAGGTGACGTTCCGTTCCTCTTGATTCTTCCTCGCCATGGTCACCTCTCTGGGCTCTCGCCTCAGTCGAGAACAGCGGGATCCGGACCCTTTTCTGGGTCGAAGCGGTACCTGTAAGCCTTACTAGCCTTACGATGGATTCCCCAGTATCAAGGATGAACTCCAAGGCTTTCACGCTTTTTGGTCAGCTTGACATAGGCTACACTTCCCCTGCCTTGAGCTGAGGATGAAGTTGTGAAACACCAAATGCCGCCGTCAGGAGGGTTGTTGTGTCGGCCCATGTAGCTAGTGTAGCTGCTGAGCCACCAGTCTAGGATCGGGAGCTCTGTGCTTGAGCAAGACCTCCCAAAGGAACACTGGACTTTCGCAGTTCGGCTATGAGGTGGTAGAAGCCCTCTGGCTTGCGGCAGCTGAACTTCTCCCGCGCATATTGAGCCATTTCAGACGTCTGCACAGCTTTCCAATGACCACAGCTCTTCTCTGCACCATTGGCGATGTCAATGTGCGAAGCCCGGAGATCCTTGCCCACGGTGTCGGCAAAGGAGGCCATCTGAGCGACCTTCGGTGGAGCTCCAAAGGCCATCTTCTGGTGACTCTGAGCTCCAACCTCCGAACGTTCACCAAAGCTGATGTGTGACTTGCGCAGTTCGGCGCCCAAGGCTTCAAAGCCGTCCGGCTTCTTGCAATGGAACTTGTCATACTCATTCCTGGACATTTCGTCCGTCAAAGCTGCTACCCAGTGTTTGCAAGACTTGGAAGCACCAAACGCCAAGTCGATGTGAGACGCTCTGAGGTCATCTCCATTCTCAACCATCTTCTCCCGCTGATATCTCGGATGTTTGATGTAAGCTTCTTTGGTCTCAGTTTGCCCGTAGTGTGAGGGCAAATAGCTCAGCTGCCAATGCACACCACGCAAATCTGCCTTGGCATCCACATCTGTCGCTTGCTGCTCTTTGGGCCATTGGATCTTTTGCCGGGCGACCATGGACCCGCTTCTTTGAAGCGTTTTATTTTGCATCTGAATCTGAACCTGGCAGTAGTCTCAGCCTGGCAGTAGTCTCATGCTTGAGCCCAAATAGTTTCAGTGACATTTTCGGCCGCTGCAACCTCTTCGCTTCTTTACTATATTTGCAGCAGCTTTTTGATTGTCTGGCATCATGCGCAAAAGATCTGAATTAACCAGTCAAAGTGACCACAATTGGACATGAAATGACATGAAATGACTCAAAAATGCTCTGCAAAGGTTGAGTCCACTTCGTCAGTGCAGTTCCATTTGTTTACACTGCTTACTGCTGGCCAGGTACAGCTTGGACGGGAGGTCACTCTCGGCCGAAGTGCAGCAAATCCACTCCAAAGCCCTCCTTATAAAAGTATCAACAAATGAAAGCACCTACCAGCTCCCTTCTCAGTGTCAGTCCTTCTATGTCCTCCCCACTTTTTTGAGTTTCAAGTGCGCGAATCATGATGGTCCAAAACCTCAGGACCTCAGACCTCTATATACTTGCATCCAAAGCTCTCAGCCGCCGCTTTGTCTGTCACTGCAAGATCGCGATCATCAAATTCTTTGCTCAGGCGTTGGCCAATCACATCAAGCGCCTGGATCGGTTGCAGACCAAATTGAGCAACAGTCACGAATGATTTCTTGGCTGGCTGAAAGTCATCCGGATTTCGTAAGTGGTGGTAAATGTGTTATCCGTTTGGAGCAAGACGTGTGTTTTGAGATCCCTCGAGCACAAAAAGAAGAATCGCTCAAACGAAGTAATTACTGACTACATATGCAGTCTACGCAACTCGACCCAAGAGAAGGTCCAAAGGATTGAATGCATTGACATTGCTCAAACGGCTGGCTGCTGTGAAATTTCATCCAAGGCTCGGTACTGGATTGCAAGGTTTGAAAGCCCAGCTCTTTCAGGTGCTCCTGAAAGCACAAACATGGGCTTCCCCGAACCTGAAGACATGTAGGCTAAAGAGGCTTTGAATACCTAATTACTGTTATTGATGCTTTAAAAAAGCAACGGGTTGTGACAGGCTTCCTCACCTCCCTCCCAGCAAAACCCTAGTCGTGGTCCTGAGCAGTTTCCGCAATGTCCGCAGGGATTTGCTCAACTGTTTCCTCTGACATGTGGCACGCTAAATGTGGCATAATAATCGTCAGCATCATCATCATTATCATCATCATGCATAACTGGCATAACAGATTCCACAAAGGTGTGTTCGCGACTTTGATGGACCAAACTTCTGACCGAAAGCATTCGACAATCGTTTTGATCCAATAATGACGACTCATCACCAAGATGAAATATTTTCATGCGGGAGCAATCCCAGATATATATGTATGTATATATATATAATGTATTGATATTTTATATATACAATGTATTATTCCACAAAAAATCTTAGCCGTAGCTTATCAGCCAAATCTGCACATGGCGAAGATGGAGACTTCCAGCATGTGTTGATAATTGTTGTGTTTGGGTCGAAGACAAACAAAAGTAAACAAACAAAAGAAACAACTATCCGTCAAGTCTTTCAGACGACGATGACGTCCTATCCCTGCCTCTATGGCCTCTGCCAGGGGTGTCAGAAGTGGCTCCAAAGCCAAATGATCATCCCCTGAAGTCTGGCAGTCTCGCGTCAAAAAACAGCAAATCGAAACAATTTGTATATATATATAATACCATCTAATACCGAAGATATGACCTACACCCCCTAAAATCATCCTGGTTATGTGGATGGCACGGTCCTTCCTTTTTGATCCGGTCTTAACAAACAGGTGGCACAGTGCCATCCACGTAACCATGACCGGAGTCGAACATCGGAGTTGCATCCGCCGACCGGTCCGTACGGTCCGTTTCATGGCAAGGAGCTTGTCAAATAGAAGCAACCATGGATGTAGGACGGGTCTATTCCACGTTCCCAGATGGAGATTGCCTCCTAAGTACATCTCGCTTCAACAGGGCCAAGAGCACAAGTAAGCACGTTAACACACAAAGACAGCTCTCAAGTGATCTATTGCCTCTGCAGGTCAAAGAGTCCTTGCATCAATCAATACAAAAATATATTGTTGACATATAACCTGTAGTCTTGTTTCTTTCACATATCTCAGCCCTTCCTTTATCAGCAGTAGGCATCATCCACACCTAAGCTGACTCTCAGTTCCTCTGAAGCCGCCAAAGCTCCTGCTGACCACCGCCGCTTGCACGAGCAGCAGCTGCAGCTATGTGCGCTTCGGCAGGAGACAAATTGCTCGAGGTCTTCCCTTTGCCCTTTGCCTTTCCGGGCCGACAAACCACCGATGCTTAGGGCCAAGACGGTGTGATTTCTTTTTGCCAGCACCAATCTGTGGCTTGCTTGAAAAGGAAGAAGCAACAATGCACATTTAGTCTTGTGGAGCTGCGCCCTGAGTAATAACGATGTGAACCATCATAAGCCACATGGCTCCAAACTGGTACACCGGCAACAGCTCTTAACAGGGATGGCCAAGTTTGAGTTCACTGCGCGCACTGCACTTCCTTGTCCATCTCCTTCTGGGACTGGAAGTTCTGCCGTGGTTCTCGTTTGCCCTTCTCTTTGCCTTTTCCATCCTGCTGAAGCCGCAAGGATTTCGTCTAGGTCAGTCGACTCGGATGCTGTGAAGTTACAGAACTGCTTTTTTTGAAGCAATCGCTACGCGCGGCCTAAGGACTGCAGCTCAATTCACAAGAAGATGCTGATGGACACGTGAAGGCTTGACGAGAGAGAAAAAAGCCCCATGTATGTCTCACGGCGGCCCTCCACATCACTCCGAGCCTTGCCCTTTCCAGTCCCCTGGAAGAAAACACACCAATGAACAACCACACGCATGCTAACAATATTGTTGCTTGAATGCACTTAATATCACTTAATGCACGCTTATGCTTGCTTCTGCATTCGAACTATCCGACCTTCACCTGTGTTTAGCAGTGACTCAATGCAGAACGTCGAACGTCCGCTTCGTCCGCCTTGTTGCTGAACATGGCTCTAGTTGGAACATTGGAGACCGCTTGGTTTCGGCCTCACCGCGCGCTGCACTCAAGGACGTGCTCACCGGGCCAAAAACTGCCCAAGTTCACAGTGGAAACAGATTCAACTGACACAGGAAAACAAAGATTGCTAATGCAAGGAATCTAGAAGAGAAGAACCACAGCCCAAGAGTCCAAGAATAATGAAATGTTGATAGCATTTGATTGGCCAGTTATGGGCAAGGTAATTAAACAAAGCTGGTTTTGAAGGTGAGCTTGTATTTTTTATTACGGGGCAGCGTGTTTTAGACGATTCTTGCTCAGAAATCCAAGTTGGGGTCTCCCTGGTTCACACTAATGCATTTCATCTCTAAGCTCCAAGCGACCTCCACCAGAGTTTGGACCCATACCTCACCACCTTCTCAGACCCACCTGGCCAGTGTACTCCAAGGCGTTCAGAACGTCAAATGAACTCGAAAAAAAGCATATAACTTAATACATCCCCATAGTTGACTTGTGGAGGCACGGGGTTGGAAAGACTATGTTCTCACTGTCACCCAACGAAAGTTTGCTCAAATGTCGCAGAGTCTGTAGTTTCATGGAATTTTGTGGACATGCAGGCACCACGGCTGGCTGTTGGCAAATCCAGAATCGATCATGGCAACCGGCAACCCAACCATCCTGCAAAATCCACGCCTCTCACTCCATGATGGTAGACAGACGTCCCCCATCAGAGCACGGGGTCAAACGTTTTTGTGAACTTGACGCAACCCTAGCATTGCTGACTATCTCTTCGGTTTGTTGGTTGTGGCGCCAACGAGAAGGGGTAAGCAGCGTCCCCAGCCATAACAAAGCAACCCCCTGTGAGGTTGAAAGCCGCCTGTTCGTTGAACGTATTTACTCTCAGCTGTGGACAATGTATAAAGGTCATGGTGGCAAACGATTTCTACTTATACTTCACACTTTAAAGGGTATGTTATCTGAGATTTCAGCAATTTCTCAGAAACTTGCCTGAATTCTTGGCAGGACGAGTGTGACGTGGCCACTTGGCTTGAAAAGCAGTCATGACCACCTGAGCCAATAGGTCAAATCATACATGGCCTGGCATGGTGAGGGAAGGAACGATGCAATCATCTGGAAAGTAATCATTTAAAACATAGATATGCATCTGTGTATATATGTATAGGGTGGCCGCTCATATTCGCAATACATGTATGTATGTATGTATGTATGTATGTATGTATGTATGTATGTATG